CGGACCATCTCTAATTGCTCATGGAATTCAATCAACAATTGATTTGCTCCTTCCATATGTGATCTTTTTCTTGCACGGTTTCCCACAGACGGCGCCAAATTGTATTAACCAAAAAACTACTCTCCAAATGGTTGTATACGAGATGAATTCAAAAAGTGATATGGGTAATGTACAAGAACTAATGAATAAAATATAATAATCAATCTCTTAGCATGAATCACAATAGTGGGAATAAAATATAATAATTAAGCTCTCAATATGAACCACAATAATATTATGGGAATAAACTAGCTAGAGTTATTTAATTGTTGATGGGATGCATCTCCACTACTCAAGCTATACTACGTATTTATAATAGTAAGGATGATCATCTCCACTTGAGCAGCTAGTAATCCTCCGGCTAATTAGCCTTTATCCGTCAAACTCGGCAATTAGTTAGCAAAGTCTATCAGTTCGTTCCAATTCTTCCGCTCCAAGCTCCCTATTATTATTTGCTCATTAAGTTTGTATTTCTTAAACTCATGGGCCCCACCTTATTTTATTTCGTGATTATTTTTTGGCCCAACAGTGTGCATGAAGAAGATTCCAATCATCAATATTTCGAATACCAATTTTATTGGTACTTGATTTAGTTTCCGACCAACTAAAGAGTTTAATTACCAACGAAATTCATGAACTATTCAAAAAAAATTGACGGAGCAAAGAGTACAATCAACTCATATTTGAGTTTAAAAAGTACATCAACTTATTTTCTAGGGATAAGGGTCAGATAGGGTCTCGAACTCGAAAAAAAATGTCAAATAAGGTCATATTTAGGATGCTCTGTCCGGCTGACGCCATTTGGGGCTGTTCCCGATGGAATATTTTGATGAAATTTTTTGAGCATCTTCCTCGTTAAGTCTAGTTTACCCATACCAAATTTCAGCTAAAAATTCAACCGGGAAGGTAGTGAAATGAATTTTTGAAGATAACTGTGAAGTTAAACAATGCCGTACATTTCGGAAAATCATTTGACTACCTTCCCGGTTGAATTTGTAGCTAAAATTTGGTATGGATAAACTAGACTTAATGAGGAAGATGATAAAAAAATTTCATCAAAAAATTCCATCGGGAACCGCCCCAAATGGTGTCGGCCGGACAGAGCATCCTAAATATGACCTTATTTGACATTTTTTTTCGAGTTCGAGGCCCTATCTGACTCTTATTCCTATTTTCTATGTAACATTATACTACTTCTATCCCATATTATGTGTCTTGCTTTGATAGTTTGGTTAGACACAATTATTAATAAAGTAGTTGAAAAATAAAAGTTGTGATTGAGATATATGAGTATAAGCTTCCAAAAGAAAAAGATATATCAGTATAAGAAAGTGAAATATTGTAGACCAAAAAGAAAAATGTGATACTTATTTTGGGATAACTACATGTAAGATGAGACGAAGAGAGTAGTACTTCTCTGATCTACACATTTAAGAAATCAAACGTAGTTGATTTTTCAAAATCACTCTATACTAAGCTAAATTAAAAACAAAATAGTATTGTCAATTTCTTTATGAATACAACATCCAACATTTACAGCAAAAGTACACTAGTCTATTCTATCAAATGCTTCATAATTCCTAATTTAATAGCATTTCAATATTTTCAATTGAAATATTATAAACGATCATAAACATAATATAAAAGTAAGCACCAGAAATCTAGTCTTTTTTACCTTTTAAAATTTTAATTAATTTAAATCAAAAGTTGACAAAGCATTCAAATAATGTTTTCCAAGTTTTCTCTCCATATTTGACGAGTACCATAATTTTACTACGAAAAAAAGTTGAAGTAACCCTTAAACTCTAATGCAAGCTTAGTGTATTTTGAAATAGGTGGAGCAAATTGTGAACTCCAATGTAAGTTGATATGTAGACAAGTTTAAGTCCCAAATGAACACTATTCTAAGAAAAAAATACTCCGAAATCCGAATATCACAAAATATTACTTACTAGATTTCTGTATGTACAATTATATCACAATAGAACTACTAAATTGTTGTCTCTACGTTATTGTCAATGAATTAATGACATGTATATTTTGACGTGAATTTGATAGTCTAGTTTGATATACTTTAATTTAGTTTGGTCTAATATGATATGTTGTGAACCAATTCGATGAGGTATACTCTAGTTTGATACTTTTTAGTACTATTGCAACTCTGATTGTCTAGTTTTGCCTATTTTTCAACTCTCTATTTTGTTTTGAATGCATAAATATAATTTAATCTAATACAATCCAGTCCGATCTGATTTGTGACACATATAATCACAAAACATATATCAAAAGGTTCAAGAGATGTTGATCCTATATTTGAAAGAGAAAAAGATGATCCTTTCGAGCTAAGACTGAAGAACATCAAGCACTTCATGAGCCACTTGCTTAAAGCTCCACTAGGGTTTTGTCAAACTTAAGGCGTATTTGAAAACGTGACTTTTAAAGTGATTTTAAAGGAAGTTCTTTAAAGCAAAAGTTGATAGTGCTTTACAATAGAAATGATTAAAGTGAAAAAAATAAAATTGGAGTATTTGATAAAAAGTGGTTTTTGATAAAATATTTAGTTTAACTACAAAATTATCAGTATTTTTTTTTATCAAATCCTCATTTCAACGTTGCTCCTGGTCTTTCGAAGTAGGGGATGGGGCTCCATCTCTCCTCAAATTACTTCGCCCAATTCGGTTAAAATTACGGCATCGAAAATCGCAGCTACAAAGGCATGACAAGCAAATGATAGACATCTTGTTGCCAACCCTACCTCCATGTATGTAGGCAATTGAATGTATGTAAAAAATATTGGCAGCCCAAGAAGGCATTCCCACAAGGCGAGTGAGGAATGTTCAAGAGAATTGAACTTGTGGCCTCAGTCACACAATAACATCTTAATCGGAGTGTCAAAGCTCTCCTTCTACATTTTAAAGTGTATACTATTATAACTATTATAATCTATATGTATCTATAAGAGAATCCAAATCTACCGGCATAATTGAAAAATGCAAATATAAGAGAGGATAAAATGAGAGGCAGTCGAGAGAGTTGAGTAAGGAGGGAGAAGCAAAGTGATATGGAAATAGCTTTATAGAAAGTGGAGTTATGGAGATACCCTTAAGAATGAGCGGAGAGAGACTTAGTTCATTTAATTAATATATTGATAGATTATAATAATTAATAATAACAAATAACATTAATACTAATATTAATAGGAGAGAGAAGGGGGGGTTTTGGAGAGGGGATTGTCCCTTTAGGTATAGTTTGATTTGATTTGGTTACAAGACTAGTGTTCCTGTCAGGACCTCCAAAAACAAACCTCCGTACGGACCTCGGCATTTGGGCCCCTTTTTCGGTGAAATTTTCTGATGAATTTTTTTGAACATGTTCTTCATCAAGTCTAGTTTACTCATACCAAATTTCAGCTAAAGATTCCATCATGAAGACAGTCGAATAATTTTTGGAAGTTAACTGCATTTTATATGTTACCCCACCGTAGGTGGGAGCCTTTGCGGCACTGGGGTAAATGAAAATGATGAAATGATGATGAACTGCATTTTATATGTATATAAAGTGCTCAGTTAACTTCAAAAAATCATTTGACTGTCTTCCAGATGAAATTTTATCTTAAATTTGGTATGCGTAAACTAGACTTGATGAAGAACATGCTCAAAAAATTTCATCAAAAAATTCCACCAGGAAGAGGTCCAAACGCCGAGGTCCGTACGGAGGTCCATTTTTGGAGGTTCTGACATGAACTTTCCTCTTGATTACAAACCAATAAGAGAATCCAAATCTGTCGACATTTCCAAAATGCAAATAGAATGAGTAAGGAGAGAGAAGCAAGTAACACCAAAATAGATTAATAGAATAGGGAAAAATAATTAAAATACTCCATACTTTGAATAAGTGTGAGATAAATAACTCAAACTTTCATATGTAATTTATGTGCCCCAACTTTATATTAAAAATTATTTTAGCACCATGATCATATACGGAGTATTATTTGCTAAAAAATGTAAATTTATGGTGTTAATTGCATAATTTAAAATAGTAAATTAAATTTGTTGCAATTATATAGAGTGGGGGTGGTATTATTTATTTTACAATGGACCCGAAAGATAGATTAACTATCAATTCAGGACCCGAAAGATGATACGTATCGATATAGAACCGGAATGGTGGAAAACTATCATTTTAGGACCTAACATTTTATAGGTTTTGATTTATTTAATTTTGTATTAATTCCATTACTAATTTTTTAAAAACTATTCTTCACAAAAGTTTATTAGTTTAAATAAAACTAAATAATATTTAAAATTTTCAAAATAAAAAAAAATTACAAAATTTATCACAACTTAGGTCCTAGATTGATAGTTTTCAATCATTCGGGTCTTAAATTGATAGTTTTACATTATTCGGGTCTTATCAACGCATTTCATCTTTCAGGTCCCAAATTGATAATTCGTTTATCTTTCAGGTCCTGAATTGATTAAATTCCTTAATTAAATCTTCATGAATGCTAAAATATTTTAAATTATGAAATTAACACCAAAAATTAACATTTTTTAAAGAAATAATGTATGATTGTGATGCTAAAATAACTTTTTTATATAAAATTTGAAATATTTAAATTGCATATACAAGTTTGGAGTGTTTACCTCACACCCCTTGAAAGTTTGGGGTATTTTAATTATTTCCACCGATAGAATAGAGTTACAGAAATACCCTTAAGAATGAGCATGAAGATACTTTAAGAATGAGCATGAAGATACTTAAATAACTTAATAGTTATAATAGTAAATCAAAACTTTAGTACTGGACGATGAGTGCTAGTTAAATACCAACTACACAAAAGTGTTGTTAGTGTTGTCATTTTAACAATGTGATTACGAACAGTCAACTAGCTGTCAAAATTAAAAGTTAACATAATTATCCGAAGCCTAATCAATTAAAATTAAATATAAAAGTTGACATACTATTCCGCCTTAAAGTAAAGCTGGCATTCAGTACTATGAGAACTTTACTATGGAACAAATATAGTAGTATTTAATGAAAATCCTCCTTCCTCAATGCACTTGATATTATTTAGGTTGGGGGAAAATAATATTTTGTATACTACATACAATACCGTATGAAAGTTTAAAACTTTTGCATTTGAGTATCATTTACGTGTTTCGATGTATTAATATTTTGTCTGGATACAATAATGTGTTGGTATTACCACTTCTAAAGGAGGTGGTTCTTGAATGCCGAGAGCATCTTTGGGGAAAAGAGCAAAACGAACGTCAAAATAGAGCCCAAAAGCATCTTGGTTATGTACCGCAAGGGATCCATGACAGCTTCTTCAGTTGGAGGGGAGTTGGGTGATGTTGTTGAGACTGTTGCAATGGCAGACGGAAGAGCTTCGATCACTGCATCTGCGAGGTCAGTTATGAAAGTGGAGGTGCAGTTGAGGGCTGGGACGCGGCCCCAATTCACAATTCCGGATGCAAGAGCCAACTCTCGGTATTCCATATCAATCTCTTCAAGTGTCTCTATGTGCTCACTCACAAAGCTGCAATCACAAGGATAATGTGTTAAGACCCCTCTGTTGTACGAAGTATGATCCAATGAATGATAGAAATTCCCTATGTTTTCCAACAACAGGAAGGATGGATTTTTAGGGGAAAAGAGGACAATAAACGAAAACAAACTACTACATAAGGGTGGGTATGTCAATTTTACGGTTCTGTTTGGGTCGGATATGCTCAGGCTAGTCGTTTGACCCACTGCTTGCCCTTTTAAAAAGGCAAAACTCTTCTTTCATAGGGCTTCCACATGTGCTTTCCATTTTTTCACAATTCTTCCATTGGTTCCACAACTCGCACGTTTTCACAAATATTACTTATTTACCACTACCCATTATTCATTCCTCATAATAATAATAGTAATAACACATTACTATTTTACCACTTCACCTTAGTACATATAGGCAATCAAGCACACTTCTCTAAGCTTTATTGAGATGAATTTGTGAAATTGTTAACAAGGATGTTATCAACCCAAATGTGGTTTTTAATAACTTTTTGTAGTCAACAACAATAACAACAACATTGTCACAATGCCGCAAAGGCACCACCTACGATGGGGTAAAGCAAGCACAGAGAGATTGTTTACGAAGGATTCATGATGAAAATCACGTCGAAAATTGCATGGACTGACTGATGCTTCATCATAATATAGAAGCACAAACAATTTAGTGAGCCATTTTTCTTTATTCCATCATATTCCCAAGCCAAAAAATAGTGAGCCTTGGAATTCATTGAAAATGATGGAAATCTTTTTGTTGTTGAACTGTTAAAATCATGTAAAAATATTAACTTATTACTTCATTTGTGAATTTGTAGAATTTGCAGAGCTAACTTTGATTAGTATATAGTGATGACAAGGATTGACGTTTTCCATTTATTGATAGTGTACTCATCTAATTTTGGATTTTGTTTCCAATTATTTTTTAACTTCTGAATTTATTCTGATTTATATTTTGCTAATTTCATTTTCCCCCCTTTTATTGCAATCCAAGTATCTTCCGGAAACCGCCTCTGTGTGCTTTAGGATGTTTTCTTTGAGACTGAAATGTGCTGGTATTTGGATTGGTAAATGTCTGGTCTTTGTGTATTTTATAACTATGGAAGTCTAGTCTAGTCTGGGACCGAAAACAGTCCAGCAGAAAACATCCTTAGTGCAGGGGTAAGGCTGCGTATTGCCGACCTCTCCTTACCACACTGAAGGTGGGACCCTTTGCGGGGTAATGATGATATTGCAATCCAAGTATCTTGAAAATTAGGAAATATTCAATCCATGTGTTCCTGCCCCATCTGAGTGCAAATTTTATAACTAACATAGCAAATAATTGATAAAGACCAAGACTCATGGGCTTAATATTTTTAATAAAATGTAATAGTGGGCTGGGCCAAGTAATTAGATAGATTGAGGGAAGCCTCATTTAGAAAAGAATAAATAGAAGGGATAGAAGAGAGGAGGGGTGGCTGGAATTAGTTTGGGACTTGTCTTGGGAGTGCGGGAGACTACTCGAAGTGTCTCCAGTGTATCTTTCTTCTTTTCAGTTTCATCAATTTCATCTTAATCTACTTCAATTTACCGTCATATTTCTGTGTACCTATCATTGGTATCAGAGCCGTCGACCCAGGCGATCTTCAATCTACATTCAAGCGACAAACAATGGAGCAGCGCAGGAAACAGCAGGTGGTAGCCTCTGGTTTGTGCGTGAAAATTGAGAAGAGCGTGTCTACGCAAGGCGGAAAGGAACCGCGCAGGCAGCATGGAAGATCCGATCAGGATGCTACGCGCGGAAAAGTGGAGAAGGTTGCGTAAAAGGTTGGAAGTAATTGGGCAAAGGAGATGCGGATCTGGTTGGACAAGATGCGCACCAAGCTGCGTCAACAACGGCGCCGGCGAGGACGATCACGGACCGTGCGTCGCTGCCAGAATATCAAAGGTTCATCCCTATTGCAGACTGAGTCGCGAACTGCTTGTCCTAGTTCGCAGTCGCAGACAGCTTCTCTGAGTTCGCAGGTTTCATGTAAGTCGCCAAGCTCTTCTCCCAGTACACCAGATTCATTGCAAGCAGAATATATCAGTTCGCAGGTTTCTTCGCGAACAACTTTCACCAGTTCACAGTCGCCCGAAGTTTCTCCCAGTTTGCCATCTTCGCCCCAAACAGTATCTTCCAGTTCTCATTCTCCATCACAAGCGCATTCCTACATTTTGCAAGCTTCCTCGTTCCAGCAGGAGTCTGTTAATCAGCGGCAACATTTCCCTGAAGATGCATACACAGATGGCGGCGATGCAGGGGAGGAGCAAACTGAACCTAAAGTGGGAATAATTGCTCGATGCTGTACTCGTAATGTTTCTTCCAAGTACGATGTCATTAAGGACTTGGAAGCCAAACTGTTCAAACAGATGGATCATAGAGGTTCTGGAGAAGAATATATAAACCAATACATGATGATGACAGAAAATAGAAGAGCACAGGTGGTGGGGAAACTCTATGAGAATTCTCTGACTGAACCTCGAGTCCTTGATGCAGACAGGTATGCACAAATGACAGCAGAAAATTACCACAATTGGGCTATCAAATTGGGCTCAGGATCATTTCACTATATACAAGTTGGAGACAATAGAGGAGCTAGTGGTATTGATGGTTTCAGATTATATGTTGTTACTTCTATGATGTGTAATCACCTTGGGTTGGTGCTAATATTTACTGCGGATTACAATGACTATTTTGGACATGCTACTAAAGTGGATGTGGTTGTGTATCGGATGCTTGTCAACAACCTCATTCACAATTATCCAGTAACTAACTCCGAACTGAGTGTGATTTCTGGGAAAACACTTGAAACTGTAGGAGCTACAATCAATATGATGACCAACTTCCTCATCAGTTCAAGAGTACAGAGGGGCTTATGCAAGTGATATGTTGTAAAGGTGTACATTTTGGGGTTTATGTGTTTGAAGCACACCTGGCTTCCATATTATGCTACTGGTTGCTTGAAGAGGAGCAGTCAAACATTGTTCTAGTTCACGACAGGGAAGTAAAGGGTAGCAGAAGGAACCACAGTCATGCTCAAGAACCTCCATTAGCTATCCCCGCTTGTCCAGATGGTAAAAGAGATGTGAACAGCTCTGATGTGGGCATTACACTTGGTAATCTTATTCCGCAACAATATTATTACCAAACAAAAGCACATGCTACACATGCGGGTAGCCTTAACAGTGCTCAAGCCTCAGGTTATGAACAAGCTAAAACAGCAGTGCACAATCAACTATCAACTCCTGGGATGCACTCTTTTACTGAGTTTCTAGCAATCATGAACCCCAAGGGTGAAGATGAACTTTCTGCTCCTTATTTTCCAAGCTACATCTTAAATGCTCATCAAGGCCATTTTCCAGCTGTTTCCAAAATTCACTTTCCACATCTCAGTGTGTTGTAATAAGCAAGATGAATGGGCAAGTGAGTGTTATGATTGGTTTCACAAAAGCCCTAGAAGAATGGGGGGCAACTTAGGGTGAATAAGTCATGGTTGTCACGGCGTCGCCTAGGCGTCGCCTAGTCGGCGACTAGGCGTCCAGGCGCTGGAGGAAGCTCGCCCGCTTCACTCGCCTCGCCAGAATAAAATCGGTCGAGTCTGGCGTCGCCAAGTCGTCGCTATGTCGCTGTGTTGTCGACAGATTCCTCGCCTAATTCGTATGTCGCGGAAAATTGGGCCAGAACTCCCAAACCCAGTTAAAAAGAAAAATAGATTTAGGCCTTAATTATTTTTAGGAAGCTAATTTCTTTCGTTTTTAAGAAGCTAAAGCCCTTTAAGGCTTTAATTAAGGCTTCAGATTTTAATTAAAAGCTACGCCCATTACCCATACTTACCTTACGAGTTACGACCTTACGGAATACGGACGAAGAAGCATCGCAGGAAGCAGTCAAGATAGGAAGAAGACAAAGTCACAGAGTAGCACTGTAGCATACGACTTTCTTGCAGAGTATATTTAAGAGTATATAGTTCTCAGGTTCTGGATACTTCTATTTTAATCTAGATATTTTTATATGGCAGAGTATATTTAAGAGTATCTTATTTTCTTAAATATACTATCGCAGGTTCCCGACTTTTAAGGCTTCTGAATATATATAACTATACAACAGTGTTTTTAAAATCTAGATATTTTAAAATAAGAGTATATAACTATACAACAGTGTTTAATCTATTTTCTGTAGAAGCTTTACTTATCGCAGAGTATAACTATATGATAGAAGGTTTTTAATTATTAATTGTGGATTTCAATTCTAAGTTATACACATTTTAGTTAGTAATACATTATACATAATATATAATTAAAAAAATGATTTTATAAGTAAATATATAATTATATACGAAGTATATACGGAGTAATATATAATATAATATACACATATAGGCGACTTGTCGACTAATTGTCGCCTAGGCGACATGGCGGTCAGCTGGCGCCGCGACTTGACTTACCGCCGTGACAAGCATGGAATAAGTCAAACTATAAAAGCGGTTTGTGGATTCAAAGGCTGAACAGAACCCAGGTAATGAATGATCTGGATGTATCAAAAGGTGAGGATTGGGAGTTGAAAGTGGTTTCCAGGATTGGTGGCAGAATAATATCCATGGAGAATCTTCCTACTGGAACTCAGTAGCTTTACAGCCGAGTAGATATAAACGGCGATGCAACATATAGTGGATTTGGGTACAAACCTGCTGGATGCATGAAAGAGTATTATGTCATTGAAAAGAATCAAGAGCATGCAGGAGGAGTCAAATCTTTTGCATTACAAGGAAATAAGGAAGTTTTGGTTCAATGGAGACAACAATCAGATTTGGAAGATTTTTGGGAAAGTTTCAGCAAATGCCAGGAAGAATGGGTGACAAAGGTTCAAGTACCGAAGCTAAAGGCACTGAAATCGGTGAGGTACTCGGAAGGAAGGGGCACGAGGATGAAGCTGGATGGCATGGCTGCTCTTACTCCCCACCTTGAGGACAATGTGGTTGTCAAAGGGGGGAGTGATGATAGAGACCTGGACTCATGGGCTTAATATTTTTAATAAAATGTAATAGTGGGCTGGGCCAAGTAATTAGATAGATTGAGGGAAGCCTCATTTGGAAAAGAATAAATAGAAGGGATAGAAGAGAGGAGGGGAGGCTGGAATTAGTTTGGGACTTGTCTTGGGAGTGCGGGAGACTACTCGAAGTGTCTCCAGTGTATCTTTCTTCTTTTCAGTTTCATCAATTTCATCTTAATCTACTTCAATTTACCGTCAAATTTCCGTGTACCCATCAATAATGAACCATACAAATTCTGCAAGTTGAATATTGACCAATAGCAAGAGCAGTATGATCATTCTGGCGCATAAAGTATAAACTAGGTAAACTAGGCCCATCAATATCTTTCTGACCAATAGCATATTCATACCTCACTGGAACAGCCAGCAGAGATTTCACTCCTTTCTTTCCAAGTTCAACAAGAACTTCATCAGTGTAAGGTTTCAACCACTGTACGGGTCCAACTCGGCTCTGATATGCAGGGTAAAAAAGAACCAAATTCAGTTCCAGTAGGTAAAAAAGTTTTATTAAACCCAGGGAAGAAACAACTAACAGCCACTTACAGAAGGTAATTTAAAAATATTTTTCAATGGTATTATAAAGAAAGATGGAATGAAGAGAACCTGGTAAGCCAAAGTATGCTCATTGTTAACTCCTCTTGATTTCAGTTCTTGAATTATCAATGAAATGCATTCTTCCATCTGATCCCTGTATGGATCACCAGCATCCTCAACATAACTGACAGGTACTCCATGTGCACTGAAGAATATCATTGCCTAGAAGAATCAACATACCATGTATTACGACTAGACAAAAATATCCATAAGGAATAATAAACCCGCCGTACCAAGGCTATGTTTGGAATTCAGCATATGGAAATGAAAGGAAAAAAATATGAGGAGAATGCTATTTTTTTCTTGGAAAGTGGGAAGAATAATAGAGTTTTGATTATATTTTTCAGATATAACATATATTTAGATTTCATCTTCATCCCTATGAGTTTATGACTTCAAACAAGTATCTTGATTTAATTTACTTGAACCATGTTGTTCCCTCAAACTCTCTTTCCTTCTAGATTTCCTTTCTAAATTGATTTTTATTTTATTTTCCCTAGCATTTTTTCCAGATTCCAAACTGACCCCAAATAGGATGGAGGAAATCAGGGGGGGGGGGGGGGGGGGGAAGGCATTTTAGCACCTACAAATATGTTTGAGATAACAAAGGGTAAAAAACAATTTACCTCATCAGGCTGTGGAAACTTTTTAACCTCTTTCTCAATCAAGTCAGCCATGGACGTGATGTAACCCTGTCGTTGATACCATGACTGTATGATAGCCACAGGTAGTCTACTCAAATATGGATCTCTCCTGAAAGTGCAAAGGTTTATCTTATGTACAAAATTTAACAAAATATAGATTTATGCATAGTTTATAAATCAGACACCAGCTAAGATGGCTTTACCCAAACATATTCTGAAGAACACGGATGCTTGATCCAGTCGTCGAGATGGAATATTGAGGATATAGGGGTAACACAACTAGTCTCGTAATTCTATCTCGTTTGATCTGCCAGAAAGGCATAAAGTTGATTTAAAAAATAAAAGGAATGAAGACTTATTCCATAGCTTTCAGTACATGTGCCATTCTATAACATAACAACAGAAGTGAAAAATTCACAGTTACAAATAATCTAGATAAACGCCTAAATGTACTTTCTTTCTTTTATGATCATCCACAGAAAGTAACATTCTGTGAGAAAAATAAATGCAATGAAAATCAGACATCCTACTAGGTTATAAACAAATAACACATGCATTATTTTCAAATGTAAAATCTTAAATCAGACACCTGAAGGTCCTGAAGTACCCTGGGGTTATAAAACCAGCAAACAACTCATATTTAGCTGACCAACATGTAGTCGAAGAAAAAGGGCACAAGATCTTAAGCATTGCCCATAGTTTCAACTCAAGATATAATCATGCATACATCCACTATACTTCTGAGAAGGAAAGCAGCAGCAAAAGAATTTTTTTAATGTGTTGGGAAGATAACATAATAGGTAAAAAAAAAAATACAACACCTTGAAGTCAATTGTGACTTAAAGTTCTTCATTAAAACACGCAGTAAGTGATATGAAGTATAGCTCTTTATATAGTACTGTACTATTAATTTACAATGCACTATATTATAGTAACTCACTTCCAGGGATTGACATTATTTCTTTAGTTTAGAATTTAGATACATCATGTCATCAAGTACACAAGTGTGATATTCACAGAACGTTAGCTGCTAAAGTATAGATTATTAATTAGTTATCTGAAGCATTATTTAAACCTGCCTGTTGAACAGCTTCCTCAGTAAATGGGTGCCAGTATCTCATAGCAACGTAGACATTAGCAGTGACTTCCTTCTCTTTTAGTGCCATTTTTAAAGCATTTGCCTGGAAGGATAAAGTTGTTGAAATTGAAATGCTACAAGCACAGTTTGTATCACAGATATAGACAGTTTTCCGCATAGATTTTTAAAGCATTTGCCTGAAAGTACTAACTACGAGTAGCAGAATAAGTATACCTGATCATCCGTGATTCTTCGCAGAGGTGAACCGCCTCCAATTGCAGCATAGCCTTCCTTACTTTTGGGAGCTCGTAGAACAGATATTAATTGTGCTAATGGGCGCTGTAGGAATTGAAATAACCTGGGGAGGCGTATAATATCCTAGCACAGACAAGCAGTTTTATCACGCATCAGCATAACAAAACTCCATGCACCTTCCACATTTCAAAGTCAAAATAAGGGTCCATTTGAAACTATGAAAATGTTAGGGACATAAAATAGGGAGGGGGCTATTGAATAAATTAGGAGGGAGAGAAAATGTGAGGGAAAAGAAATAGTTGTTCATACTCAATATTTGTTTTTATTTTATTAAGCTCCTTTTATTTATATAGACTTGGAAGTCTGAAACATATGTAAAAAAAAAATACTCAGAGTAATCACATTTCATTACCATATTAAAACCAATAAAAAACCTTCCCGTGGCATTTTCTGGGATACAAACATACCCTAAATGACATGGACAAAAAAGAGACCAGTAGCATACAGGATCAGCAAACAGATTGAAAAGGAATGGTTGAACATCGTGAAGTGTATCTGGCCCTCCAAGGTTCAAAAGAAGCACCCCTGTCTTCTCTTCATGTGTATGTGATGGAAATTCATTAACACTTTCAGGATATGTACAGATCCCAACAGAGCAAAATGTCTTGCCAAATTGAGCTCTCTTTTGCAATGGGAAATGTAGAGACGATCCTCCAAGTGTGTGACTTTTGTTAGCAGCCGGCTTGAAACAAATGCTTGGAGGAACCTCAAGAGAGCTACAAGGCTTTTGGTGTTGTCTACGTGGGATATTGAAAGTATGAGTCAATCTAATCTGAGGAGAAACGCTGGAAAGGAAAAGGACAAGGAGTTGTAAGAATTAGCTCAATAGAAGCAACTGAATGACCAATGACATGGAATAGTATAGTTGCATCACATAAGTTGGTGGAAGGAATTGTGCTCCCCTCCCCTTTTATGGCTATACAAAAAGTTCAAATAAGCATCCTCTAAAATCATTAATAGACAGCAACTACCTAATGCATATATGTTCCTTGTGAATTATGTTTTTTGTAATGGTAAGAGAAAACCTTCAATACAACAATTATAATCAGTTTCAGAACAATAAGGGAGATATTATTTAATTGATCACAAAAAAAAACTGCACACGGAATAAATGAATGAAGATCGCGCCAATATTGCAGCTTACGAGGGATAAGAAACAGTGGTTTTGAAATTGCGGAGGTTCATCTTGAAAACGACGGAAGAGCTGCTTGCGACTGAGTCCATGTTCGGATGTATACGGAGGAAATGGCATATAATTATTACTCCGTAATAATTTAATAGGGTTTGGGGTTGCTCTGCATACCGATTTTTGGACAAGTATACGGTTTTCTCTTTTTTTGCTGATCTTGTATGCTACTAGTCTCTGTTTGAAGTTTCCTCTTTCTTTTGCCTTCCGAAGTGACGCGGCTCGTTAGTTCTACTTTTCCTTGCTAAAAATCTAAAATCTAAAATCAAACATATACGGAGTAGTGTTTGCACCGAAGACATAATCTCTATGGGGTACGTGTCACATTCTCCACATTCTCTATGGGGACACCCTGCTGGAGGCAGTAGTGTTTGCACCGAAGATTTGGAGAATGTGACACGTCTCCCCATAGAGATTATGTCTTCGGGGCAAACACTACTCCGTATATGTTTGATTTTAGATTTTTAGCAAGGAAAAGTAGAACTAACGAGCTGCGTCACTTCGGAAGGCAAAAGAAAAGGAAACTCCAAACAGAGACTAGTAGCATACAGGATCAACAAAAAAAAAGAGAAAACCGTATACTTGTCCAAAAATCGGTGTGCAGAGCAACCCCAAACCCTATTAAATTATTACGGAGTAATAATTATACGCCATTTCCTCCGTATACATCCGAACATGGACTCAGTCGCAAGCCGTTTCCAAGATGAACCTCCGCAATTTCAAAATCACTATTTCTTATCCCTCGTAAGCTGCAGTATTGGCACGATCTTATTCATTTATTCCGTGTGCAGTTTTTTTTTTGATCAATTCAATAATATCTCCCTTATTGCTCTGAAACTGGTTATAATTGTTGTATTGAAGGTTTTTTCTTACCATTACAAAAACATAATTCACAAGGAACATATATGCATTAGGTAGTTGATGTTGATTAATGATTATAAAAGATGCTTATTTGAACTTGTTCATTATAGGTGTGGTTCTTTCATTTTTGTATTATAGCCATAAAAGGGGAGGGGAGCACAATCCCTTCCGGGGGTACTAAGATGTACCGAGACTTGAAAACTATCATCTTTTCTAGCGGAAGCTCTCTCAAAATCAACATCATCATCAAAGCGTCACCTGTACAAAATCAAGTAGAGAAAGAAAAACAAAAGAAAACAAAAATTAGCAACAATGCTAAGTAAGTTCCACATAACCCCATAAAATAATATAATTTAATATTTTTGAAAAACATTTAGGGGGAAAAATCTTTTTAAAACAATTTATATCAATCGTAAGTAAACGATATTTATAAAAAAAACAATAGTACTTCAAATATAAGTAAATATTTCCATACCACAATAATTACAAAATTACCAAATATACATAAAACTACCAAAAATCATTACAATAATTCCAAAGCATAAATCAAACTCCAAATATTTATCTCAAAATATTTATAGATACTCATAAAGGGTATTCAACATAATCAAACCGAATCAAATCCAAAAGTACTTATACTCTAAAAATTTCAAAATTAATTTAATAATCCAATGCAACTCAAATTCAATCCAAAGATAATCCAATCCAATCCAATCTCAATCAATCCAAGAATTCAAATTCAACGCAAGTCCAATCCAACCAAAGAAATATTCACCTCTAAGTCCAATAAGTCAAGTTCACCTCAAATCCTCAAAACCAATTCAATCAAAATTCAGTGGAAGCCGAACTCCTACCTTAAGTGTGCACACCTCTAAAAGGGATTCCAAGCCCTCCGGGAAGTAAGAAGCCCTAGTAGTCGGGATTTTTCTACCAACTACACTACAATTAAGCTGGGATGCTCCGCTTTTGGGAAGTACCCCTGGTGGGTTTAGTCTTATAGCCGTTACCACTCACCAATACCACATTTATCCGGATGTGGCAAACCGACACCACGGATCTCTCCGGGTGCTCACCAAAAATCACAATTCATTCTAAAAGTTCCAAACCAATATCACAACCTCAACCAAAACGGATATGAAATCCAAAGTCCACAAAATAATCTACAATGTAAAATATTAACTCCAACAAATTACACTCAAATGTACGATACATTAAAATTTCGTAAAAGAGCCGAAATATAGAATACTTCACAAATAGCTCACATCCCAACAATAATTCACACGATAACTCAAATACTCAAAATATATCCAATACCGAATACTCAAATCTCAAATATAATTTCTCAATAACAATTCATAACAATTTCCAAATACTCAAATAAAATCTCAATCGCAACTAATTTAATACGTAAAATGTAATTGCTAGAAATCTCATCAAATACTCAAATAATTCAAATAAATAATCATAAATAGATTTGCGAGGAAAAGTTATAATTTTGGTTGACGTGAAACTTACCTTAATTCGCGATAACTCCTAACCGAAATTTATACATTTCTCCAAATTCACCTTCTAAAGATATTAATAATAAATTTTAATTAATAACTATTGCCCAAATATAGTTTAATTATCGCATTAATGTTATTATTATTACTATCTTAAATTGGCAGTTCGGCCAGTCCAATGATATACATAATAATATTATTTTGTCCAGGTTATGAATAGATCCAGCCCAAAATAAAAGTGAATGGTACGTAGCTTCAAAAATTCTTCTTCTTCAGAAAAGAAGAATATACATACGTACTTTTCTCAGTCGTCTTCGCCTTTAGCAAATAGACGCAGTTCCAGGCGCAGCAGCGGCGACTTCGACTCCTTCCAGCAGAGGGTGACGGCAGCGATCAGTAGCCCCTCGACTCCGGAGAAGGTGGCAGTGGTCCAGATGATTGATGGAGGATCTAGACAGCCCGACGCAAGCTCCTTTTCCGGTGATGCAGCGGCGTTCGTTTTTCTCTGCCGTAGAAACAGACTGGCACACCGGCAGTGTTGCACCGGCGATTCTTCTTCTGGCGACGCTGGCAGCGAACGATTGGAAACGACGTGCGCAGTCTGGCGTTTTTCTTCCTCCTAGCGATGACCGGCTTACGATTCTGTTCGTCTTCCGTTTGTATCCACGGATTCCACGCAGCGCGAAGGTCGTAGGGTAGACGTTTCTCTTAAGCGGCGGAATGAACGATGTATATCTAAAATCTTAAAAGTGTTGTGTAACACTAGAGCAATTTGGTACATTTAATCCTTCTAATCCTTCTATATAATAGAAAATTCATTTGAGATCTGCATATTTGAGATCTGCATAGTACCAAATTTGGTATATGTAGTACTTAATTTTTGTCAATTTTAACTTTTTCTACTAGGATTTCTTTAATTTGATATGTTATACTATATAAATATTCTTGGAGTATCTTTAATATATGTAATTTGGATGATTTCTTTACTATATGTCATTTGGATTATTTATACTTCCTTCGTATTTTTTTGTTTGCTACAATAGGTGTTGGCACATTTTTTAAGAATAAAATAGTAAAGGTAATGAATAATGTGGAAAAAGTAGGAGAGATGGTAAAAAAAATATGAAAAAGAAGATAAAAAACATAAAAAGTAAGGATGGTTGAGTATTTTTAAAGGAAAAACTTACCAAAAAAGGAAAGTGTGACAAAATTTTGAATCCATCTAAAAAGGAAAGTGTAGCAAACATAAAATACAGAGGGGGTAATAATTAAGATTCAACTCCTCCTAAAATTTGTATTTTTAGCTGAAATTTGGACTGGACTTGAACAAATTCCGGACCAGTTAACTTGAAAAAATCATTTGACGACCTTCCCGATTGAATTTTTAGCTGAAATTTGGTATGGATGAACTAGACTTGATGAGCAACTTACACAAAAAATTTGAGCAAAAAATATCACCGGGAAGACCCCCAAATGGAGGAGGCCGGACGGGGGGAATGGTCCGGCCTGGCCGGACCTGAATAGTTGTGTGTGTGTGTGTGTGTGTGCGCGCGCGCGCGTGTGTGTGTGCGTGTGTGTGTGTCTGCTTGGCCGATGTTTATATACCTAGGGTTTGATGCATTAAAATCGGTTTTGCAGTTATGTATATTCATCACAAATAGTAGGGTACGTGTGAAATATATGGGCATGTCGCAAGAACTCCGTCTGTTACCCAAAATCTTTATTACTCCGTATAATACTAGTATTGTTGTGAAATGAAGAAGATGAAGACCAAGTTTCAGAGATAGATATTATTAATAAGCTCTAAATTTCTTCTTCTTAATATAACTGAGATTTTCTGAATTTCTAAGTTCTGAATTAATTTACCAGAGTTTGAGCAAGCCCTATTTATACTAGCCAAGCATGAGATGAATCATCTAGGAATGATTCTACGTGATGGTGGCAGTATTGAATCTAGCCATGTGTGTGATTACAAGGACTTGTGTTTGATGAGTAAGGATGAGAACTAGCTAGGTGTCCTGATTACAAGGATGGACAATTCACACATGTCATTCTAGCCATTTTAGAACACCCCATTGAATGTTCATCCTTGAATAGGTATTTGTTATGTTAAAAATTTATTGTGAAAATTAGTGTGAATTTAAAGGGGTAAAAATTACGACTTATAATGTCGTTGTATTTGGATGTACTACCTCTTTAAAAACCTTATCAGGAAAAACCCAGTGGGATAAAAACCTGATGAAAGGAAAAAGAGTGCAGTGCATTCAAATACCCCCCTGAAATTAACATAAATTATTAAGGCGGCGCATGCCGATTTTCTGTACAAGTTCCATGAACTTCTTCGGGGGTAATGATTTGGTGAAGAGATCAGCTGGATTTTCACTGGATCTGATTTGTTGAATGTTGATTGTCCCTTCTTTCTCGAGGTCATGAGTAAAGAAAAACTTTGGAGATATGTGCTTCGTTCTATCTCCTTTGATGAAGCCTTCTTTAATTTGAGCTATGCATGCGGTATATTTGTCTTTGTAGATCACAGTCGGGTGACAACTAATAGCTTTCATACCACATTCATCTTGGATGTGTTGAATCATAGATCGCAGGCACACACATTCTCTCCCGGTTTCATACAGTGCAATTAATTCAGAATGATTTGATGATGTAGCTGTCAATGTCTGCTTCATAGATCTCCATGAGATTGCGGTGTTATCATAAGTAAATACGTACCCGGTTTGTGATTTCGCCTTTTGAGGATCTGATAAATATCCGGCGTCTGCATACCCGATTAAAGAAGCTGTTGCATCTTTGTGGTGGAATAGGCTGAGATCAACTGTACCACGGAGATAACGGAATATGTGTTTGATCCCGTTCCAATGACGTCTTGTTGGGCATGAACTGTTCCTAGCTAATAAATTTACAGAAAATGCAATATCTGGTCTAGTATTATTAGCTAAATACATTAAAGCTCCAATAGCACTCAAATATGGTACTTCGGGACCAAGTATTTCTTCGTCGTCTTCTCGGGGACGGAATGGATCATCGTGTATATTGAGAGATCGAATGACCATTGGTGAAGTCAAAGGATGAGCTTTGTCCATATAGAATCTCTTCAACACTTTCTCGGTGTAATTGGATTGGTGGATGAAAATTCCATTCTTCAAATGCTCAATTTGAAGCCCGAGACAAAATTTGGTTCTCCCGAGATCTTTCATTTCAAATTCTTTCATAAGATATTTTGCAGTATTTTCAATTCCATCGGGAGTTCCAATAATGTTTAAGTCATCAACATATACTGCAATTATGGCGAATCCCGAATTTGATCGCCGAATGAAAACACATGGACTAATCGGATCATTCTTATATCCTTCTTTGAGAAGGTATTCACTGAGACGATTATACCACATTCGTCCAGATTGTTTTAGTCCATACAATGACTTTTGTAATTTAATGAAAAACATGTCTCGAGGTTTTGAGCTATAAGCCTCAGGCATTTTAAGGCTATGTTTGGCTAGCCATTTCAGCTCAAAATGGGCTGAAATATTCTAAATTCAGCTAATTACTTTCAAAGTAAACATGTTTGGCAACGGGGCTTAAAAGGGCTGGATGTAAAATAATGGAGCTGAACCATAACGCTATCCATGCTAGCGTTTCCGTTCAGCCTGTTATATGATTTACTTTCTTTCCCAAATTATCCATGTTCCTGTCTTTAATTTCTTTTCTCCTCAGCCGATCGTCTGGTCTTTCTCTCGCAAATCACCTGCCTTTCTCAGTGTATGTACTCTAGCGAAAGAGGGAGAGGACAACGGATGATGGTGTGAGCACTGAAGATCGCCGGATGAAGAAATATAGCACTGATGTTGAATTTGTACGTAGTTAGTTAAGAACATTTTTTTGAAGCATGATTCATTGTTTCGTTTTATCATTTTTACATACTTTAATGTTTTAGAAAAAAACATAACGCTTAATATTTACTTCTAAAAACTACTACGTATAAAAATATTTAATATTATAAATCATTATAATACATACGAAGTATTTTATTAAGAATATATGCCCTTTTATGTAATTTCACATGATCCGGATACCTCTTCAGCTATTCTTGCCAAACGAGTTTACTTTATTCAGTTAGTAAATCAGATTCAGCACTTCAAAATTCAGCTCCAGACAATAATCTCTGATTCAGACAATAACCTCTATTTCAGACATTAGTCTACAGTTTCAGCTCGTTTTGCCAAACATAACCTAAATCCACCGGGAACTATCACATAAATGTCTGTATCAAGTGAACCATATAGATAGGCGGTCACTACTGTAACACCCCGGCCCCACCGGACCCGAGGTAGTTACTCCGGACCAATAGTACTGTCCCCACAAACCACCACGAGCCTTTACCGCGCACTTTGTCCTCACTCATGCGCGCCCTGAGAAACTTCCCAGGGGGTCACCCATCCCAAGACTACTCCCGTGCAAGCACGCTTAACTTTGGAGTTCTTGGGTGATGAGCTCCTTTAAAAGGAGATGCACCTCTGTTGGTATGAGTAGTACTATTAATCTGTTTATATTAAATCTCAAGTGTTACAACTACATCCATTAGGTGCATTTGCAGCCTTTCAAAAACAGACATGCCAATGAGAAACCTTAATGTAGTTGCATCAACTACTGGAGAATAGGTTTCTTCATAATCGATTCCCGGCATTTGAGAAAAACTTTGGGCAACAAGTCGGGCTTTATATCTAACAATTTCATTTTTCTCATTGCGTTTACGCAAAAATACCCATTTAAAACCCACAGGTTTTACGCCTTAGGGCGTAGGGACTATCGGTCCAAAAACATCACGTTTTTCACGTGATTTTAATTCAGCCTGAATAGCTTCATTCCATTTTGGCCAATCTAGTCGTTTCCGACATTCTTCAATTGATGTTGCTCATTGTCATTGTTTTCATTCATAACATTTGTGGCAACGACATAGACAAATATCTCATTAATATCAATATCTTTTCGATTCCATTGCATTCCAGTAGAAACGTAGTTTATTGAAATTTCATAATTATCAACGTTTCTATCATTATCTGGAACATCTTCCTCATTTAAGGAAGTTGGATCATCATTTGAGATGTTTGTTTTGTCAATATCATTTTCTATGCTAGTATTTTCAAATTGCTCATGTTCTTGTTTAGAAGGATGAACATCTTTGACATCACAGATCGATTCTTGCCTTTTAGTTTTTCTTGGTTTTATGTCTTTTGATCCAAGTGGCCTACCACACTTTTTGCGTATAGAAGAATCATTTGCAAGAGATTTTTCAAAATTCTCTGCTGGAATTTCGATTCTGCCAGGGGCATTCATAGCAGGAATATGTGACTTTGTCACTTTCTTTGTATCTATGAATGCATCAGACAACTGATTTGCAACATTTTGTAAATGGATTATCTTTTGCACCTCTCACTCACATATATTTGTTCTAGAATCAAGGTGTGATAATTCTGTTGCATTCCATGTTATTTCTTTCGTACTTGGGTCCGATTTATTAGTTTCTCCCCCTAAGGTTGGGAATACTGTCTCATTGAAATGACAGTCAGTGAACCGTGCGGTGAATAAGTCACCAGTCATCGGTTCAAGATATTTGATTATCGAGGGAGATTCAAATCCAACATAAATTCCCAACCTTCTTTGAGGACCCATTTTTGTACGATGAGGTGGAGCAATCGGAACATAAACAGCACAAACAAATATTTTTATGTGTGCTAAGTTTGGCTCTTGTCCAGTAACTAATTGCATTGGGGAATATTCATGATATGCAGTCGGTCTAAGCCGAATTAAATTTGCTGCATGC